ACCTTGAAGAAAATAACCCGAATGGAGAAGACGAAGATGAAGACCCAAATTCCAAAGTGCTCCAAACCACCAAACGTTCAGATTAAATGGAAGCCCTTGACTCACTCTATCTTTTTAATAAAGGACTAACGTTAGATACTCACCCTAGGTAGATCAATTCTTAGGGAGAAGACATGTTTAGAGAGAGAGAGAGAGAGAAAGACTCTCAAGGGGCGGTTTTTAAAAGTTAAGAAAGAAAGGTAGGTCAAAAAGTGATCCAAAAAGTGAAATCTCGGACTGATGTAGTCGACTCCCCTCTCGAGCGTCCAAACTCCCGCTCGAGCGTCGAATACGCACTCCCAGTACTTTTGCAGAACCAGATCCCCGCTCGAGCGGCAGTCACACATTTCCGCTCGAGCGTCCAATCCCACGCTCGAGCGTCCAACCCTGCACAGGAAAATACTGGATGGGTGATAATCCCGCTCGAGCACCAAAACCCCCGCTCGAACGGACAAGCAACAAAGGAAACCCCGCTCGAGCGTCAAACTCCCGCTCGAGCGGACAGGTCAAAATCTGGACAACTAGTTTTGGCATCTAAACTCAACCAACCTGTAACAGACCCGCCCAACACATCGTATAACTCAAATACAAAGAGATTAAAGGACAACAACAACCAATATATAATGACAGAATCCACGGAACCTAAGTCCGGATACAATAATCTAAAGGGAAAAGACCGGGGTCGCTATAGATTTTGCAAAAAAACTAGATTATGCAAGTATGATTGATTTATTTGCTTTTAAAAATGCAAAAAGAGTGAAGATCAAATGACACTTATTAGTTGTTGCAATGTAATGGTAAGTATTTTTTGTGATTTTGACACAAATATTTTGTTTTTTACCTTCAAATATATATATATATATATATGTTTTTTTTTTCATTCAATGTAAAAAAAAATATGAAGGGTTCTAAAAATTTATTAGTTGATTATCTCGGTTTTAGGCCTCGAAAATCTCAAGACCGGGCCTGCCCTTCAAGCTTATTAGACCGAAAAGGTAGCATATTTGCCCACTACGGGCCTAAATCCCAAATTTAAATAACTCCAACACTCAACATCCGAATTAATCTCATAATGCCAAGCCTAAAGCTGAAAGCCCAAATCAAACAAATTCTAAGCATGAATCAATACCCATTATTTTTCAACAAATGAATGATCTATAATCTTAATCGTATAATTTTATTTTATTATATTTATATGTAAATCATTCATAAAATATATATATATATAATAATCATTGTCACATAACTTTATTATATTTATTTTCAAACAAATGAATGATCTATTTTTATAACTGTATTTATAATCTAGTTTTTAAGAACAAATAAAATAAATTTATGAGATTATGAATATTAAATTAATTTAATTTTTTTCATAATTAATATATATATAAAACATTATAAAATAAATGGTTCAGACAGTGACACTTGCAATGAGCCAGAGTGTGATTATATAATTGCCTATCTATATGTATGATGGAACAGACATTTCTGCTTTTACCCAACACTCTTGAAAATGCTGTTAATAGCAAAAATGTGTTATGAAAATATATTTTTAAATTTTTTCAGAAACGATTTTTCAATAATAGCAATTATTAATAACAAACCATAGGAAAACTATTTTTCGAAAACATTTTATAAAAAAAAAAATTGTAATTTTTTTTTGCTAAAACAAAGGAAGTGTAAAACCGAAACGCATATAATAACATCTTTCTTTTTGATAAAAAAACTTTGAAGAAAAGGCAAAAGAAAATTTGGAACTATATCTTAATAGAGTATGTTCCAATAATTTCAAAATGTTGAACAAAAAATCAAAAAATTGTAAATGTGTTTCGTCTTGAGTCAAATATACACCATATGCTGGGACGGAGTTAACCTGTGCTCAAGGGTGGCCATGCCCCCTCCCTCCCCCACCTTGTTTTTTTTTTTATAACCTTTATATTATATTAAATTATATATATTTGAGAGATAGATATTTTATTGACCCTTACTCAATTTTCAAGATAACTTTTGAGTATCAGTATATTATTTGTAGAGCCATTCTACCAATTAAAATGTCACTTTTCATACTAAATTTAATAAAATATTATTTATTTTGACTAAATAAATATAAAATAGGAGATAAAAATAGAAGGCAATTAAAAAAATCCTTTACATATCTTTGTTTTTATTGATTATTGATATATTTTGATGCATTGTAATTTGTAAATTAGAATATAAAAATAATGAAAATATAGTCAGAGTTGGATATATATAATATTTGGCCGACGAGTGGTTTGGCTTCAAAAGTCTAGACTAGACCGGAGCTTGAAGGGGGATAAGAATACATGGTATTTTCATATCATTGCATCCTCTAGACAGAATCGAAATTTGTTGAATTCAATTACAGTGGAAGGGGTACTCTTTGAGGATCCCATTGTGGTGAAGCAGGAGGTGTTAAAGCATTTTAAAGGCCTGTTCCAGCATTGTAAAGTCTTGTTCCCTGAAAATTGGAGGAATAGGCCAAAGTTGATGGGTCAATTTAAATCTATTGGTCAGGATCAAGTGGCTGGAATTCTGGAAGCAGATTTTTCTGAAGATGAGGTATGGGGTGCTATTAGGAGTTGTGACGGGAATAAGTCTCCCGGTCCTGATGGGTTTAATCTGATGTTCTCTCAAAAGTGTTGGGATTTTTTGAAGTTTGATGTCCTTCAATTTTTCAAAGAATTTTATGAAAATGGGAAATTGGGGGCTGGTGTGAATAATTCTTTTATCACTTTGATCCCAAAAATTGAATGCCCTACTAGTTTATCAGATTTTAGACCGATTAGTCTTATTGGGTCTTTGTACAAGGTTGTAGCTAAGATTTTGTCTCATAGAATCAAGAAGGTGATGCCTAAGGTGGTTGGAGAGGTTCAGTCAGCATTTTTGGGAGGTAGAAACATTTTCGATGGTGTACTCATTGCGAATGAGATTGTTGATTAGTGGAAGGGGAGTCGGAGAAAAGGGTCGATTCTCAAGCTTGATTTTCAGAAGGCATATGACTCTGTCAGTTGGGAGTGTCCCTTATCTATGATGGGAAATTTTCGGTTCAGGGCTAGGTGGAGAGGGTGGATCAAGGAGTGTTTAGTACCGGCCAGAGTGTCTGTGTTAGTGAATGGCTCCCCTACGGCAAAGTTCATTCCTGAAAAAGGCCTTAGGCAAGGTGACCCGTTGTCTCCATTCCTTTTCAATTTGGTAGCTGAAGGACTGAATATGCTAATGGATCGAGCCAGATCTCTAGGGTTGGTTAAGGGAGCTGTAGTGGGCAAAGATGAGGTGGTGGTTTCACATCTCCAATTTGCAGATGATACAATAATTTTCTATGAAGCTAACATGGAGGAGGTCATGGTAATTAAACGAATTTTGAGGCGTTTTGAACTGGTTTCAGGGTTGAAGATTAATTTTCATAAGAGTTCCCTTTGTGGAATTGGTGTGTCTGATGAAGGGGTGAAGGAGTTTGCCTTTAGACTTAACTGTGCAAGCCAGAAGCTTCCGATGATGTATCTTGGTCTGCCTTTGGGGGCTAGTCCCAGGTTAAAAAAAACATGGAAACTAGTCCTCGAAAAATGCAGAGTTAGATTAGCTTCTTGGAGGAGGCGATTCGTATCTTTTGGTGGGAGTTTGGTGCTTATAAAATCTGCGTTATCTAGTCTGCCTATCTATTATTTATCTATTTTCAAGCTTCCTGTATCTGTGGCTAAGTTTATAGAAAGGATTCAAGCAAATTTTCTCTGGGGAGGGTCTGATTTGAAGAGAAAAGTTCACCTGGTTAGTTGGCTGGAAGCAACCAAAAGTAAAGAGAATGGAGGTTTGGGTATTAGACGAGTCAAGATGGTTAATGAGTGCTTGTTGACTAAATGGTGGTGGAGGTTTGGGACTGAATCAAACACTTTGTGGAAAAGAGTTTTGTGTAGCAGGTATGGGTCAGTAGGTGGAAATTGGCTGCCTATTACTTCTTTCACTAGTTCTTATTCAAAAATCTGGAATGGTATTATTAATATAGGTCAATCTAACCCACAGCTTTTGAGTGTTTTCCTGGATAATAGTCGGGTGGTGGTGGGAAATAGGAATAGAATTCAGTTTTGGACTGATTACTGGATGGGGGCTTACTGTGTTAAGAATGAATTTCCTAGGTTGTATAGTCATTCAACTGAAAAGGAGGTGTCTCTGAGAGTGGTGTTACAGAGGAATGAAGCCTCACCTAGGTGGATGTTCAGGTTTAGAAGAAGGTTATTGGGTTGGGAGGATGATGAGCTTAGAAGGTTGAGTACCTTTTTGGATCAGAATTTGGTTGGCCTTACAGATAGGGAGGATGGTCTTGGGTGGTTAGCATCTCCATCTGCTGAGTTTTCTGTCTCATCTCTGTATTCTTTGGTTGTGCCTTCATCTCGACTAGTGGTAACAAAGTTAATATGGAATAAATTTTCTCCCCCAAAGGTTCAATTTCTAGTTTGGCTAGAGTGGAAGGGGAGACTAAAAACTGCTGGTTTTCTACAAAGGATTGGTGTGTTGGAGCCAGAAGCCTCTGCTATGTGTGTGTTATGTAATGAAGGGCTTGAATCTGTATTTCATCTCCTTATTTGGTGCCCGTTTGCTTGGAGAATTTGGTGTGATCTGATACAGTGGTGGGGATTGACTTGGGTAATCCCACAAACAGTGGAAGGGATTCTTAATTGGTGGAGGGGCATCAAGTCGAGAAATAATCTGAATATGATCTGGCGAATTATACCATTTGCGGTATTGTGGTCGTTATGGAAATTCAGGAATGAGAAAGTTTTTTGTGAAAGTCAAATGCACTTGGAGGAGCTGTGTGAATTAATCAAGACAAGGATTGCATTGTGGGCCAAATTTTACATTCAGGATTGTTGTTACTCAGTGCAGCAGATTATCTGCAACATTCAGGAGATTCAGCATGGAAATGGTTAGTATATGGTGGAGGGGAAGGGTGAATTTCTAGTTTTTTTTTTTTCCTCTTATTTTGTTCTGCTGGTTTTAGGTTCTGTGGTGGCTTGGAGTGAGAGGACATTTGGCATAAGCTGTGGTTGTGTGAAATGTGCTCTGCTAGTGGTCATTAATCTGGATCAAATTTGTTGGCTGGTATCAGAGGTTCAATCCTTGCTTGATGATCTGGTTGGTCTTGTCACAAGGCTGCTGATCTTTTCCTCAGCTGTGATTTGGGTGGCTATTTGGGTTAGATGAGATGGTGCGTTATAGCACTATTAAGAGAGCCTTAACAGTTTTGTTGACTTACTGATATCATGTAGCAAGTGTGTGTAGCAGCTGCAGTTTTTGTGCAATGTGTTCTGCTGGTGGTCTTCATGGTGAAGTATTGCTTCAGTCATGGAGGTGGTCTAGTTTGGATCAAATCTGCTGGCCTACATCAGAGGTTCAATGCTTGAGGTTCAATTGAGGACAATTTAGGTGCAGTTTGGGGTCTGTTGTGTATGCTGCTTTGTTTGTTTGTTGGCTGCTGATGGAATCAGCTGATGGTCTACTCTATATGCTGCCTGCATGCTCTGTTTATATGGTCTGGTGGCTGTTTACACTAGCTGAGTTGGATCTGATTTGTTGATTAGCTGTGATTAGATGGTGCCCTGAAGCTTGTATGTGTTGCAGCTACAGTTTTGTGTCTAGATGGTGCCTTTTAGGACTATTAAGAGAGCCTTATCTGTTTGTTGACTTTCTGATGCCCTGAAGCAAGGGTGTGTTGCAGCTGCAGTTTTGTGCAATGTGCTTTGCTGGTGGTTTTAATGGTGAAGTATTGCTTCAGTCATTTGCTAGTCTGTTTGGTTTGGGTGGTTGTATAGCTTGGTTGTTTAGCTCTTTGGTATTTGTTTTGTGTTGTCTCTTCGTTGGTCTGTCACCAACTCCGGGGGTGCTAGCAAATGATAGGATGAGCCTTTTGGTGCCAACCTAGTTGGGATCAATTAGTTCATTGTGATGCAGTGCAATTCCACTCCCTTTATTGATGTAATGTGCCTGTTATCTTGTACTTTCATTCCATCAATAAAGTTTCTTGTTGCCGATTAAAAAAAATATAATATGTGGCGCCCTTATCTTAAAATTCTAACTCCGTCCCTAACCATATATTCAAATTCTCGATAGTTTTCCAAATATTTTTGTTGAGAACATAACACATTACGATATTTGTGAGAATTTTTCCAATTTAGTTCACTATACAAAGATCCATTTGATATATATGTATATATTTATGATCCTTAAAGTATGCATTTTATGTCATACTGAAATTTGAGTCAAATTGGTCCAATTCCCAACGGCCTTTTAAATCGTTAATGAAATAATTACAATCAGCCTGTTTGGTTTGAGTTTTTTGAATTCAGTTTTCAGAAAATCGAAATTTTTTATTTTCGTAATTTTCTTTTGTTTTTCTTGAATTTGTTTTTAAATATTTTAAGCAGTTTTTAAATTTTTAGATATACCTAACATAAATACACTTAAAAAGTATAATATTTGTGAAAAAATCTTTACAAAATTCACTAAATACCAAAAATACAAAAATTCAGTACATTTTATTTTTGTATTCTTGTGTATTTATTGATTTTTTAAAATATTTTTTTATAAATATTTTACTTTTTAGATACATCTAAGTAAGGTGTTTCTAAAAGAGTAAAAAAAATTACTTAAAATTGAAAAAAATATTTACTAAAAACAAAAAAAAAAAATAACAAACTCAATTTTTTAAAGAAATGAATCTAGAAAATTAAAACCAAACACAGTGAATGGTCCCTAAACTATACGTTTTGTGTCATTTTGGTCCATAAAATTTTAATTTTAGCAATGTTGTCCCTCAATACTGGAAGTTTATGTTTCATCTTTTTTGTTTATGTTTTGGGACTAAATTGTCAAAATTAAAAATGTTAGGAATTAAATTAACACAAATAACATACTTTAGAAACTATATGTGTATTTTATTACCATTTTATTAATTATTTAGAAGGTTCATTTGAAATTGGACCAAATTGACTCAAATTAAAAAATTTAAAAACAAAGTTGTCAAAATTGAAAATTAAAGAATCAAAGTGAGACAAAACAGATATTTTGAGAACCATTTATATAATTTATCCTATAACTTAAAACAATATTTATGTTTATTTAAGGGGAATCGGTCAATGAGCAACAAAGTGACACGACCTTTGTTCTTTCCTCCAATATCATGTCCATGGCCATCTCCATAAAACCCTAGCCATGTTTGTTACAATCTGAACAAAAGTGCCATTGAATGGAGAATCCACAAGTCGAGCTTTATTGATCTTCTCTCATGCCTCATTAATCAAATAGTTTATGTGTTTTCTGATATCTTCTACAGAAACATCAGCTTCGTGCATGTGAAGTTGGATTGATTTAGGAATGTTAGCTTGTTTCACCTCATCGTGAACAAATCACGAAGAAATTGTAGATGATTAGTATTAGTGACAAAAAGAAAAGAAAAAAGAAATTGCAAGTAACTTTATGAAGTACTTAGGATGATATAAGAGATATATATGGCTCTAATAGGACTAGAGAATCCAATTTAGGGCAATTTGGCCCCATTTTTGGGTCTATCTCGAAGATCCGAATCGCTTATTTTTTATGCCTTATGAGTAGATTATCCATATAATAATTAAGTTGATCAGATATCATTAGTAACATAATTGGATCATATTGTCTTTCTTGAAATTATACTTCTCATTCATTTTTTAAAGACAAATGTAATTTAAACATCAACGATATTTGATCAACATGATTTTTTACATGAATAATCTACTCAGAATGTACTAAAATTGAACAATTCAAATCATCAAAATGAATCTAAAATGGAACCAAATTTCCTTAAATTGAACTCTCTAATCTAATCCAATTAGAGAATTGGAGGGAAGTCCAATCCAATTAGCTTACACACCCATGATGTTCCTAAATCATTTGCACATCAACGATTGATGACCACTTAATTATGTTTTGGTACTTCTCTAAGAATTGAATTTATGTATGGTTAGAAGTTTGAGGTTTTCTTTGATCATGAAGGTCTAAAGTATTTGTTTTTCCAAAAAGACTTGAATTTACGCCAACGGAGGTGGATGAAATTTATGGAAGATTATGACTTTGAGTTACACTATCACCTGGGAAAGGCTAATGTAGTGGCCGATGCTTTGAATCGGGAATTCGTGAATAGTTTGGCAACTGTGGCCATTCGGGAATGGGTTATGCTAGGTGATATCGGCAAGTTTTATTTGCACTTGAGTGAGTCCGAAGGAAGTGAAACCTTGTTTATTTTGAGTGCTCAACCTACCTTGATTAGTAAGGTCATAGAGGCACAACAAGGAGACCGTGAAGTAGAGTCCATCCATGATAGAATATCAAACGAAAAGGAAGAGAAGGGTTTGAACATTCACTCGGATCTGAGTGTACATTATCTAGACCTTTTGTTTGTACCAAAATCTTGTAGAGAGGATGTACTTCGGGAGTTCCATTACTCACGCCTTACGGTACACCCGAGAGGCACCAAAATGCATCATGATCTTAGTCGTCAGTTTTGGTGGAGGGGTATGAAACGGGATATCGCTTCCTTTGTATCGAAGTGCCTTACTTGTCAACAAGTGAATGCCAAACACCAAAGACCAGCGGGTTTTCTATAACCCTTACCGATAGCTGAGTAGAAATGGGAATACATTACTATGGATTTTGTAGTTGGGCTTCCTAGAACACAGCAAGGCAATGATGCCGTTTGGGTGATTGTTGATAGGTTGACTAAGTCTACACATTTCATTCCGATGCGCACCGGCGACTCAGTTGAACATTTGGCAGAGTTGTACATTAGAGAGATAGTTTGACTTCATGGAGTTCCTGTAACCATTGTATCAGATAGAGATCCTTGTTTTACTGCCCGGTTGTGGCAAAGCCTTCACATGGCATTGGGAATTAAGTTGACCTTTAGCACCACTTACCACTCTCAAATGAACGAACAGTCGGAGCGTGCCATTCAGATTTTGGAGGACATGCTTAGAGCTTGTGCCCTCGATTTCAAGGGGTCTTGGGAGAGGCATCTACCATTGATTGAGTTTGCCTATAACAATAGTTATCAAGCGAGCATCGAGATGGCACAGTTTAAGGACTTGTATGGCTGACCTTCTAGATCACCGGTTTGTTGGGCCGAGGTGGGTAATGCACCGTTGTTGGGTCTAGAAATTGTTAGAGAGATGACCGAAAAAGTAGCTCTCATTAGGAAGAGGTTAGCTACGGCTTAAAGCCAACAGAAGAGTCATGCCGATAAAAGGAGGAGACCTTTATCTTTCGAAGTTGGTGACCATGTGTTCTTTAAAATCTTGCCAAGATGGGTTTTGATGAGATTCGGTAAGAGTGGTAAATTGTCTCCAAGGTTCATTGGGCCTTTAGAGATATTGGAGCGAATTAGGGAAGTAGCATACCGGTTAGCCTTATCGCCACAACTTTCGGGGGTTCACAACATGTTTCATGTATCTATGCTTAGCAAGTATGAGCCTGATCCTTCTTATGTGCTTGATTGGGTTGATTTGGAGGTAGATGAGGATTTCTCTTACGAAGAATGACCGGTTCAAATACTACATACCCAAGAGCAAGTACTACGGGGCAAAACTATACCGTTGGCAAAGGTGTTGTAGAGACACCATGGGATTGAAGAAGCAACATGGGAACGGGAGGCGGAAGTTTTCTCCAAGTATCCGAATTTGTTTGAAAATGCTTAGTTATTTTAATTTGTTATATTCCCTAATGTTAGAGGGAAATGTATCAAAGTTGTTAATCGCATGTTGTTATATGTATTGTTATTCTAAGCATGAAGTTATTGTGGATTGATATTTTTCTAGAAAGCTTCATACTTATGCTTACCATAAGCGGCTGTCGTTATCGAGGTAACCGTGATGATAATAGTAAATGTTGGTCGAGAATCTATTTTGTGATTTGAGATTGTAATAAAGTGGTTGCAACTGCTGGAAATTCCTTATTGAGTAGTTGATTGAATTTCGGGGGCGAAATTTCCTATGGTGGGGAGGTCGTGATGATCGAGTACGTAACCCATCTTACTTTTCTTTTGTGCCTGTTGGTGTTTATCGTGTTAGAGTGTCGGGGTCTAACTTGAGATCTTCTCAACTGTTGGG